CTAGCTAATATTTTCGAGGCATCAGCCCAAATTGGACGGAATGACGGCAGTTTTGAATCACCTTGTCTGTACACAAATATACGAAAAGTGTAAATATTGTACCATCGAATACATCTCCTCTAGAAAAAAAATTGTGAATCTTACTGTCAATAAATTATCATGAGATTATAAACTGCAGATGTTAATAGTACGCCCAACCGAAAAACCGGATTCCAGTTTGTTCGAAATTGTTTTGCGCTTCCTCGCATGATTTATGGTGGTTTGGCCAATAAAACGGCACAATATTCGACAGCTTGGGCTGTTGTTAATCATCGCGGTTTATTTTCATCGAAAGCAAATGAAATGTGAATAGAATCTGGATGAAAAATTACACAGCTCGAAATATTTTGGGGAGCTATCTGAAATATTTAGTGTTTAAAACAGACTTGGCTCCATTGTCTCTATTGACAAACTTTTAAAAAAGGTGGTTTAGGAATGTCTAGGAGGGTAGAAATATAATGACACAGTTGGAGCAAAAGCCCCATTTTTTGGCTGAATATCACATTCGCAGACCAGTGGAACTTGACAAACTAATGCATGTTCAATCGTTACAATGAACATGTCTGGTCTATTGAAAATCCACACTAAGGACGACATGGGTCCGATGACTTGGCGCCATACGATCATTGGCCCATAAATTTACGAAGACAAGTTGAACACAGATGGGTATTTGCACTTTTTAAAGACCTGCCTTACCGATTAGATCGATGACAACATTTCTATCCGCCCCTTGGAAATCCTTTGGATCCAGCAAGATGGTGCTCCACCACATAATGCTAGAAGAGGGGCTGATTATTTATCTGCAATATTTCTCGGCGAGTCATTTCCTACAATGGGCACATGCAATGGCCGGCACGATCACCAGATCTTTCCCCTTTAGATTATTATTTATGGGGAATTATAAAAAACCTCATTTATAAATATGTACCCGCCGATATTAATGACCTACGACGGAAGATTATCGCAACCTTGGACCAAAATTAGAAGAAGAGACGATTTAAGATCAATACAAAATTTAAGAAGATACGGAGATTTGTGCTTGAAAGTGGAGAGGGAACCCTTCGAGCAACGCCTAAAATTCGCTTGATTTACTGGTTTCTCAAAGTTTAGGTTTATCTTATGTAAATTTATAATCCGGAAATAACAGCATTTTTGAAACTTTCAAAGCACATTTTGGTTAACTCTGGATTGCGTAACTTTGCCCCAATTGAACCAATTTTGTAAGTTAGCTCCAAAAACGTACACGGAAATATTGATCGACATAAATTTCCGACTAAACACTTCATTAAAACGTTATGGACGCTTTATTTCCTTTCCTTTCCGTACCTATATGATTCTGGCTAACAAAACCCTAAAAATTTATCTGCATTTCTAGGACGAAACAATTTATCCTTGTCCAAATCCATGCAGCTGTCCTCGAACTGAAGGAGAATGCACAGATTGCAGTCATTGTCTAATGCAGCTCGGAGAGCCCTGTAGCCAGGAAAGTCCTTGCGATTTGCAAAAGGAACTAATTTGTAAATTTAAGAATGGGGACTCCGAAGGAACATGCACAGGTAAGGTACTGAAAATATTTCAGTCAAAAAATCATGTCATTCTAAACTATTGCAGAGTCATCCGGAGTCCCATGCATCGTTTACAACAGAACCTATGACCATGGAGAGACGTTTAATCTGGACTGCAGAACGCAGTGTACTTGCCAAGTGAGTTGAAGCATTATCATTGTTATCTGCAGGGTTGCGACAGCTTCTACCGCTGTTTGGTGTGTGTACTTTAGGGTTCTTTTGCGGCATTTCTTTTCTCCAATTATAATCCCGAGGCCATACCATATTAACTGTCCTGTCTCTAATTTCTTTGAGCTTCTGAGCACGCTTCGTGACCGTCGTCTGATTTTTTCAGTTCGTGAAAAAAACGGAAACTCAACTGAAACCATCCTGGAAGCTCCCAGCTATTTCCTTTTCAAGTGAGTTTTTCTTATTTAAAGCAGTCGGTTTTCTCTTTCGAGTGATGTTATAGGCCGCATTTACGCGTTTTTGGTTTTTTCTTGGCAAATTTTTGAAAAATCCACGTTGTGCAACCACCAATCGCTTCGATTCAGTATCTCAAAAAATCCTGAAAAGTCCCAGAAATTTCCTGTTAAAATGAGGTTTTCCTCATATAAAGCAGCAGATTCTCTCTTTTGAGTGATATTCTGGGCCGGCTTGAGAAAGTTTAGGTTTTTCCGTGACATTTTTTTAAAACTCATCTATCTATACCAACGGCAAATCGCTTTCCCTTAGTACCTGAAAATTTTTGAAAAATCCGTGTTATCCAACTACCGATCGCTTCGATTTATTATCTAAAAAAATCCCGAAAAGTTTCAGAAATTTCCTGTTAATGTGAGGTTTTTCCCATATAAAGCATCAGATTCTCTTTTTTGAGTGATATAACGGGAAGGCTTGCGAAATTTTCAGTTTTTCCTTGACATTTTTTTTTAAACTCGTCTATCTATACCAACGGCCAATCTCGTCTCCTTAGTAACTAAAAACTTCCTGGAAACTTCTAGAAATTTCCTATTCAAGTGAGTTTTCCCAACTCAAAGCAGGCGATTTTCCATTTCGAGTGATGTTATGTGTTATGAAGAATTTTGCAAACCAAAAATAATATCCTCAGAATGCAAAGAAAAATAGCTGAAAGTAAAAGAAATCAATATAAAGAGTATTTTATTCGCTTTGTGTCCGATAATGGACAAAATTAATACTCCAAATGCATTCCAAGGCTTAAAGCAGCAACAACGCTACACGTGTAAGTAAAAATATTTAAGTATCTGAACGAAGAATTCTAGTCTCTTCCCAAATTTGATTGTCCTGACTAATCACCTGTTAGGCCTAATTAATTTTAGAATGTTTCAAAGTATTGCAATTGTAATGTATTTAATGTGTGATATGATGAGGCTGTTGACGAACTGTGGTTGTTTTTTAAATTAATGACAAATCTTTTTAACTATCTTTAATCTTATTTCAGAAAAACTGATAATGGTGGAAAAATACACCGAAACGTATTTTGATTGATAAATAGGGACAATAAATGACTGATACCCAGGAATGAATTTGATTTGGAATTGAGGTTTTCCTCGTTAAAAGCCTTAGGGTTGCTCTTTCGAGTTACATTCTGGGCAAGCTTGAGAAATTTGTGGTTTTTTGTAGAATCTTTTTTTTAAATCTATCTATTTATACCAACGGTCAATGAAACTTTTCAGTCAGGAAACTTCCAGAAATTTTCTAATCAAGTGAGTTTTTTCTCATGTTCCTCAGGCAGAAAATTGTATGTGGTTACTCAAAATTGGCGTCATTCATTTCAAAGCTTAAATAAAGCCCGAAAAAAAATGACGCAAATAAACATTGTAAAATTTGCTTCAACTTAGGCAACATTTCTCCTTGAAATGACCATTGGATTAATTATTCTGAAAAATCACGGATTCATCCAGATATTTCTTGGCAAACATGTCAGCGTTAAGGCTGCAGTCATTTGTGGTGAGTTTTTTTAGATTATGTCCTTCCAAACCTAATACGTTTCACATTTGAAGACAAAGAAAATTAAAGTTGCCATAACAGAACATGATTGCTGAGGTCATTCTGGAGACCGTACTCATACACAAGGCTTTAAATATTGTTGAGTTTGATCGGCTTTATTCCAGATTTGTAGACTTACCAACGATGTACAGGCTAAATGAAATGAACAAGCTGCTATCTTTTTTGCAACCCTCTTGCGTCCATACTTAAACAGAGGATTCCCTAAGCGACTTCCTGTTGTCGCGCTGTTTTTAGCAATTTCCATCCATTTTAGTCGTGCAGTTCGCTTGATGTCATGGTACCATCTTGTATTCGTTCCACCTCATGATCTTCCTCCCATCCCTGGTCTGCATTGTATTATTTTGGTGTTCTCTCACTCATCTTTCGTCACCTCTCCTTGCCACATGTCCCGCAAAGTCCCGTTTCATCTTTGTTACCATTTCTAGTCCATCCTTGACTTGTGTATGTTGTTTTATGTATTCGCTTGTCTTCCTATCTCTTATAGAAATACCCATCATTGTGCGTTGTTTTTTCATTTTTGTAAGGGTCCACATCTGTGCTCCATACCTTAATACTGGCAATATACACTAATCGAACCCTTTTGTGCGTATTCGTTGAGGGATCTTTTTATGTTTCTTCGTTCTCTTTCAGCATCTTTATTTCCTTTTCCTAATTGTACTTGTTGTCCAAGATACTCATTGACGTTTCCCAATTGATTGTTGACTATTATATTCTTTTCCTTCCTGGGTTTCAGTCAAAGTGTGAAATAAAGATAAATTATATCGTTTATTGCACAACGTTTCGGCGAGACAACAACGCCATCATCAGATTTAAAATTCATACAAACTGCAAACACCAATTTACGATTACAAGATGTTGTACGAAAAGTTTAATTTATAAAGCTTAACGTTTTCATTAGTTCTTGAGTAAAAAAAGCATTCTTTTTGGGAGAGCAAAACCACAGCTTGCAAAACATTTGAAAAACTTACCTCGTAATTGGGAAACATTAGATTCATTTAGGTCTTTGCTGTCTTGAAACCTTAAATTTGTTCGAATTATTGTCTACATTTGCGAGAATGGTGTGTATGTACTGAGATAAGCGGAAATAGTTTTAATTTTTCACTAGTGTACTGGGTGTTCTATACTCATGGCATTATTGGGATTTGGTAAATGTTTATATAAATCAAACTGTGAATGCTTTTACGGCCGGTCAAATCACATTCAGAAATGTTTTTCGGGGTTTGGAGCCGTGGTCCATGGGAATTTCTTTCTGACGTTTCGTCGACAACGGCGGTGGACATTATCAAAAGCGATGGCAGTGAGCGAAGTGATCTCCCGTGCTTTCCGACTAAGACTTTAGGTGATTCAACTACCGTGACTTGATGTTTTAAACAGACATAGCCATTCAAAGCTTTTTGCCTTTACTGCAAGCCTGCAAGAGCCTTGGTGGGTTAGGGGTGCGGGTTTCGGGGTTTGTGGGACTAAGAGCGAAGAGTAGTAGTATGAACGAACGAAAGAAAAGAAATAAAAAAAGTAAGAGGACGAGAAAAGTAGTGGTTTGTGGCGATTGGTTTTAAATTTGGAAGAGTTTGAGAGTTTAGGTGCTTTCCAGGAGATTCGAGATGTCGGGAATCANAGGGGGGGTCTGCTATTAGACTTGTTGGGGTTAAGTAGCGTGGGTTAGGGATATCTGTATATGCATAATCTTTTTATTAGGATAATAACTGTCTTATATAATAATAATAGTAAGAGGTGTGTACACACTGTGTGAAATACATGAATCGATTTGTTTGTAATGATGTGTGTACTTTTTTGTAGTGTGATTTATTTTCAAGCTTTCAAACAAATTTTTGCTAAGTGCGTTCGACAGTTAAGTCGTCATCCGGAGATCTACAAATTGCATTAAATAATACGCTTTAGTATCCATGAGGGCTACAAAAGGGGTAGATAAATAACTTAATCGTCAACTGATACTGTGTTGAGTTGCGGTTTTGAGTTGTTGGCGCTCTGTGCGCTAATGAGTTATAACTCATCGCGTCTTCCCTGTTTGAGCAAATCACAAAGTGTGATATTTATGAATCCTACTTAAAAATGTAGAAAATAAACCACCATAATCGTTTGCATGGAATCACTACCTCCATTTAATAAAAATAAAATGAGATAAATTTGGACTGCTGGGAAGGATATAACCAAAATGGAATGCATTATATTTCTTTCCAGAATGGCACATATGGTTGTTCCTCTTTATGTCCTCAAGAACACATATCGCCTAGAGAATGTCAGCACCCGCGATTGGTAGACGTTACTGGTCAGTGCTGCAGAGAGTGGATGTGTGATAGTAGAACAGGTAAAAATATGTTTTTTACGAACTTTTTCCGTTGAAACTGAAAGAGCGTTTTAAATCAATTAACATGAACTGTTTTGGTTTTCGGTAGCAATAACATATAATATACAGGGTGATTCAAAATTTGCGTAATTCCTTTTAAGGGGTTATAGGGGCTCACTTGGAGAGTACGGGAGAAAAATTTAAAATTTTTTCTCGCAAATTTCTAGAAGTGATTAACAGTTGAAAATCGAATTTCAACTTTGTTATTAAGCATTTCAGTATAATCTCACTAATCCGGCACTTCAATAGACAGATGCGTCCAGTAATCTGGCAGTTTCCGCAAGCAAAAATAATCGAATTTAATTAAAAAATTACCGATAAATATGATTTTCGTGCCAGCGATGGATAGCTGGAAAAATTCAAAAAGCGATTAGTTATCCGTCTGTTAACCATATCGTGTGAAAAATTATCAAGCACCAAATCTGCATTACAGCCATTTATCCAGCATTTTAAAGACAAAATAGAGGAACCTGGTCTTTTTCCTGACCAAATCAATAATGCAGACGTGAGTTTTCTGTTCTGGAGACTGTTGCTCAATAAAACATTAGCGAATTCGTGTCACTTCGGTTGTGAAGTGAGTAAAGATTTCCAAAATTCCGAATTCAGATGCTACTGGAACGCACAAACTGGACTTGTTAGTGATTGGTAAAGCTAAAAATCTCAGGGCTTGCAAGAACATTAATCTGCCAGTCTGCTCCAAGAACCAATTTAAAAGTTGGTTCACGAGAGAGGTATTTAGGGGATTATTTCATAAAGACTTTGTCCCAGAAGTCAAGAAGTCTATGAAACGATCCAACTTGCCTATAAAACTTTTACTCGTACTTGACAATGTTCCAGGCCACCCAAATGACCAAGAATGAAATCAAGTGATAGGAATATCCAAACCATCTTTCTATCACCAAATTGCACACTTTTAATGCAGCCGATGTATCAAAATGTTATCCCAAAAATAAAGTCCTTGTATAAAAATAAATGCTGATCCATATTATATCTCAGGATGGTGACATAATGCAGAGCTTTAATGAATTGAATTTGAAGGATGTTGTATTCTCTCTCGCTTCATCTTCATGGAGAAAGTCATGGCCTACAATAAACGCTGTATCAGAAACAGAAGAAAGACAACAAAGGGACCCTGAAGATAATCTACCTATTGCCGATTCGTTGCAAAATCTGAAGTGGAAAAAGTGAAGAAAACTGAAATTTTTGGTTTAAAAAGATCGAAAAAACCGAGCAAATTACCACAGATAAAGGAATATGTGAAGCAGTACATGAAGGGGAAACCCTTCTACAACCATTGGGGGCATCAGCTGCTACAACTGTAAAAGTTAAACCAGATAAAACATTTTATTCTTTCAATACCATTCATAACATGGGCAGAATAAAACGGCATGTCTGCCGAAGATATTATAATTCTTCGAAACATGCGAGAAAAGGTTTTAAGCCAGGACTGTAAGTTGCACAAAAGCAGACCTCAATTAAGAGTACCTATTTTAAAACTGTGTATGTATTTACATGTTAATTTTGAGATATGTTTCAGTTACAATAAAACATGCGGTCTAAAAGGATCACTAACCGGCAGACAATTATTTATTTTATTTATTATGATGTTTTCTGTTCAATTTATTTATTTAAGGTCTCCTCGACAGCTGTAAGCCACTTACAGAGTGAGACCATATAACAATAATACGACCACGTATAATATATTGAATATTTCAACAAAATTATAATATTTTGAAACATACACATCTGGTGTACTATAGTCCAGTCTCCCCCAGAAAAGCAGATATCCTCAGTGTCCCCGAATTCATTAGAAGATCTCATGATTCTTAGAAGGGGTGAAAACTTTGAAACGTCGGTTCTACTCGGTCTTGAGGTCATTCAGGAAACAAGGAACGTAATTTCACTAAGTTCACTAAATATGATCGGACAATTCATGGAGCCAAAAATCAAACCCCGCAAGTTCAACCAGTGTACGTCGATCCTGTAGAGATGCGAACAAATGATTTCCAAGAAGTTTAGAATGATATTATCCAATAGGTCAGTAAATCCCATGTGTACGGTAACTTAAGTATTTTATGAAACGTCTGTGTTAGCCACGAATGGAGACCATACGATAGATGCATATTCAACCTTGGGTCTAACCAAGCTATTAAACAGGATTTTCAGCGTACGAGTGGAAGTAAAGTCTCTAACAAAACGATAACAAATCCAAGCAGACTCATCGCTTATCGTGACAATTTCTGGTCAAAAAGAAAACCGAAATCCACACATGTTGTGACTCTAGAAAATGGGGAGACACCAATCTTATATATACAGGGTTATTCACGCTATACGGCACGGAAGTTTGCGGCTAAACCGATTGAGTTTTATGAATTGTCCGACTCCTACCGAGCGCACATTTTAAAAATATTTTTGTAATGCACGGGGTGTCCCAAAAGCTCTAAAGGTATTAAAGTTGCATTTTTTTAAATGGAATGTCCTATATATTGTAACGGAAATGGCCTGGGGTACTCTCGTTTGGAATGGGGGATCGAAATTCATGGTATTTCAGTAAATGGGAGCCCCATTTGGGCCCCATTTACTGTCAAATATGACACTGACAAGCGGGAAGTTTCGCACCTGTTCTGGAGATTTCTAGAACTATCTGGAATACCTGGAGAAAACTATATAAGCCACGAACCAGACGGGAGTGAGTGAAGTGACAGGAGCGACCAGGTGCAGAAGAAGGTTAAACCCGCGAGTCGGAAACGCGTGTTTTCCTTGTGTTATTGTTATTGTTAGTGAAGTTGACGGTAACTTTGAAGTTAGTTTGTTCCTGTTCCGTAGATAAAGTTGTACCGAGTGGAATAAAAGTTGGAAGCAGAAGAAAGAGTTTAATACTCGGCCATCCACGGTACAATATTATTGCATTTTTGGATTCGCTGAACAAAATAAGTGTCTGTTTTAATAAGGTTTATAATACCTAAATCTTAAGGTATTTTAAATAATACGAATTTAATCAAAATTTAATCTAATTTTCACGTGTCAAATACTTTATAAATATTTAAGTTATGTAAGGGTAATTTATAGTGAAGTGTAACAAGATATAATATTTTATATCCCAATGATAATAAACTTACCATAGGATGTCCACAAATTTAAACTAATCAAATAAGAACTTTAAGTACCTCTAACTTGATTAATTTAAATACAACCCCATATTTTTTTAACTTACCAGGAAATGCAATTTTTAATTACCTATCTAATGGTATTAAGATGTTAATAGCTAAGTTTTTGCCTTTTTATAAAATACGTCAAATAGTTGTTCTGTGCACCATTTGGTGTTGTTTAATTTAAGGTTCCAATGTATCTAAGTTATCTATGCCATTTACACATGTCAAATCATTTATTTTATTTGTCAGTTTAGACTGCAAAGTCCCTTTTTGGTAGCTAGAGTGGTATTGTTTTTTGTAATTGTAGACGTGTTGGTCGTTATTTTAATATTATTATTGTGTTGCTAAGTGAAAATGAAGAATTATCCAAGAGAAGAGCGTATTGACATGATTTTCACCCTTGGAGAATGTCATAAAAATAGTTTGTTGGCTTCTCGAGTTTATGCTCAAACGTTTCCTGAAAGAAATCATCCTAAGCCAACAGTTTTTAAGCGCTTATTACACCAATTTGAGGAAAGTGGGAGTGTCAATTATAAAAAACCCATTACAAGGAAATCTGTCACTGAAGATGAAGAAATTGTTTTCACGGTAAATGGTTCAGTTATCGAAAATCCCAATGTTAGTCAAAATCTAATATCCAATAGTACTATCATTAGTCAATCAAGTATTTCCAGAATTATCAAAAAGCACCACTTTTATCCTTATAAAATTCAGCTTTGCCACGAACCTTTAGATTTAGACATTATAAATCTTATTAAAACAAACACTTATTTTGCTCAGAGAATCCAAAAATGCAATAATATATACGCTATTTCATTGAGAAAAACACAACAACACACACTTTGATATTTTTAGGGCTTTTAGGACACTCTGTACATTACAAAAATATTTTTTAAATGTGCACCCGATAGGCGTCTGTGGATTCATCAAATAATACTTTGCAAAAAACAAACTGGCTAGCCGCAAACGTCCGTGCCGTATATCGTGAATAACCCTGTATATTCGATCATATCACGTTTCAAGGAGTAAGACGTGACGCTACATTTGGTCACATTAAGGGTAAGTGGCATCCTACCAGACTATGCAGTTATATCATCAAGAAACCGCTGAAGACGAAGACAGTCATCAAGAGAGGGTACACTACAGAATATGTTCATGTCGTCCACATATAAAATGGCATTAACATCGACAACAGCAATAAGTAAGCAATAATAAGGACTTGAGATTCACGATTTCCACGAGCAGATCGTTTTGTTTCGCACAAACATCACCAGCATTAAATTCAGAAGAGGCGATGGATCTCCGAAAATATGTAGCAAAATCATTCAGAATGTCCCAGGGATCGGAGTAGGAAGCGTCCCCATCCATAACAGTGTCCGCACTCGTGCCATAAGATCTCCTGGAATTGATCAGCTTCCAAAATTCCTCAGGATTCACAGATATATCACCCTCAACCCTCTCACAGTAACGCCCATAAGCACGTCTTATACCTATCTTCAAAGTAGCCCTCACCAAACTAAAGCGCGAAAGATTTATTTAGTTATTAGGGGAACGATAGAGTTTCAGAAGCAACCGTTTCTCTTTTACCAGGAACTATTTCACTTTCTCTTTTACCATCATCCAGTAATCCGAACATTTCAATAATCCGGCACCCTCTGGGTTTCAATAGTTCAATTTCAATAGTTAGTGAGATTGTACGGTATTTTGAAATGGCCCCATCTTGGATTGATTTTTTGATTAAAAGCCAAAGCAACAATTTTTTTTGTCATAAGCCGTTAGTTACTTACATCGTAAGGTGGTTTCATTTGAAAAAATAAGTTGATGGTCGTATCTTATTTTAAACCGCCCTATAGATAAATTTAGCACAAGCCCAGACAGCACTTTACGTACTTAGTACGTATATTTTAAGTTTTTACGTCAGCTTAGGTACCTAAAAAACCGTATATTTTAGAAGTCTATCTGTAAGAGAGTGAGATAGACATTTGTGTTTCACACAATCAACAGGTTTGCCAAATGCACTGATTTTTCAGTACATATATTGATTTCAACTGTAAATGTACATGTACATAACATATACAGATATGCAAAAATGTGTTAAAATTAAATCTTTGAGCGATTAAGTTATCGTTCGTTTTAAATAAAAACTTACAGTTCGTTATATAGTTAATATAACTAATAAATAAAATATAAATTTAATAAATAAACTTTAACTTACTATGAACAAATAAAAATCGCACTGGCCACAATAATAATCATATAACGGAAACTTCATAACCTCATTTTAAACTTAATATTTCTCATGTTTCCGGCAAAAACTTTTTCACTCAGCTCCAGCTCATTGTCAACTTTTCTTTTAGAGGAAGTATTTCCATATTTTGTTATTAATCAGACTGAGTAGCAGAGTTAGTAAGCACTATAAGAGAGCGTCTAGAAATCTTGAGAAGTTTATTAAGACGATTGAAAAATCATCTGCAAATCGTGTTTAAGTTGCTCATGACTCGATTAGATAATGGAATCCAACAATTATATGTTTCAGGAGAAAATCTCCTACTGGCTACGTATATTTTCCGCCCAAACACCCTAAGTCGTGTCATATTTATTTAGTACCTACTCATTAAGGAAGCAATTATGATTACGTAATATACCGTAAAATACCGTGCTTTTTTTATCTTAAAACACTTAAATATATCGAAAACAAGTATTCCAACAAAGAAATGTTAGGATAACTTCTTTTCGATACATTGTAGTGCTTCAACATAAAAAAGTACGCGGTATATATGTATGTACGGTAGACGTACATGTACGTCGTATATATGTTACTGGATGTACGTATCATACTGTACGTACGATGTACAATGATGCGTTTTTCATTGGACATTTTACGTACTATGTACGTAACATGCCCTATTTGGTACGTGTACGTTACGTACATTTCGTACAGGATATACGTACTTAAAACGTACTAAGTACGTAGCTGTGCTGTTTGGGAGGAAAATCAAATTTTGAAATGAAAATTATCGGGTCCGAGCTTTTTTCCAAAAAAATAGTGCCCTGAATTTTAAATAAAATAAAATATTGCTTCTGGGGTCGATGTATATTTAGATGTAAATAAAAACGGGGGACTGAAATGTTATTTGCTAAACCAAATTTTAAACAATCTTTAGTTTTTAGTGAAAATTTTGTTACAATTCGTCTAGAAAAATCTAAAATAGTTTGGGTATCATAAACCTGTTTATGTGAGATGTAGTGTCTTAGAACTATATAAACCGTAAAGAAAATGCGAAGCGGCAACAGTGTTTTTTAAATTAACAGGAGTTCGTTAAAAATATACATTATCCATGTATTTATAGAACAGTTGTACAGCTGTAAAAAGTTTTTAAAATTATACTACAAAACTTTGAAATTTTACAATCAGGTAAAAATCAGATAACAAGAAAGCTATCGCATTCATAAATCTCCTTATTAATTAACTACTTGTTATCCCTACTTTACGTTCCCAAGTCCCACTTTTGCAGTTTGGATGCAAAGGTTTTATAGAGAAAATATGAGTATAAACCACTTAGAATCTGGAACAGAAAGACAGGCTACTAAAAGTTGAGCAGACAAAGCTTAGGATGGGCTAAAGGCCAAAGATTCTTCTCTAGATGAAAAAAATGTATACCGAACATGAATATTCCAAATGTTTTAAAAAATTGCTCGTAAACGTTCAGCAAAATTAGTGAAACTACCTCATTAGCACTCAACTAATGCCTATACAGGGTGATTGAAAATTGGCGTAATTCCTTTTAAGGGGCTATAGGAGCCTGTATGTTGGTAATACCTACAGTTATGATATTCTTGTCTTTCCTGGGTCTCAGGCAGTGTGAAGTAAAAATTTTGAAACATCGTTTATTTCATTACGTTTCGGCGAGACAACAGCGCCATCATCAGACTTAAAACTTACGCAAGCTACAAGCACCAGTTTACAATTAAAACATGTTGTATAAAAATTATAATTTACAAAGTTTTAAAACATTCATCAGTTTTTGAGGGAAAAAATTATTCCTTTTGGAGAGCAAAACACCGGAAAAACTTACCTCATGATTGGTAAAAATCAACGTCCTTTGCCTTCTTGAAAACCTTGAGTTTGTCTGATTTATTTTCTACATTTGCGAGAGTGGTATGCATGTATTGAGATAAGCAGAAATAGTGTTAATTTTTACTAGTGTACCTGGTGTTCCATATTTATGGCTTTATTAGGGTTTGGTAAATGTTGCTAAGGTTGTCGGTATCTGATCTGAAATTTACTGCTTTTGCATGAATTTTTATTTGTATCATTGCTTGGATTCTTTGTTTTTTGATAATTTGTCAACTGTCTAACTGTTATGTCTAAAAAATGCTATGCTTTTTAGACATAACAGTAAATTATGATAATTCAGGTGAAGGTGAAGAAGTTTGGTCAGGAAGATATTTAAACTATAATTCATATGCACCCCAAAAATATACAAAAAACGTAATAACTGCACTTATAGATAGAGCTATAAAATTATCACATCCAAATTACAGACAAGAAAATTTTTTAAAAATCAGAAAAATATTACTTTACAGAAAAATTTTCTGAACCAATAATAAAGCGAAGAATTAACAAAATTTACAACTCAACTAAATATAGCAATAATGAAGAGCAAAGAAACAATACATACAGGGTGTCCCAAAAGTAATGGCACAAAACAAAATAGTGGATTCCTGGGGTGAAAATATGATGATTTAATACAACTTACCTTAGTCCAAAAGTTAACGGTTGCCGACATACAGGGCGTTAAAGTTACATTTTAATTTCAGTTTTTCGTTATTTCACTTGGAGCGGCATTTTAACGAAATTTGGTATACATGAATTTTTGAGCATGAGAAATCCAAATCTATCATCAGATTTTGATCAACTTGTAGAAAAAACCACTTACCACTGGTCACCCGGTATTCTGACTTCTAAACTGGTTGAGTCTAATCGCCTATTAATTTGGTACAAAAAAGTTATTCTTAGGGTATTCTTAGTCGATGGCCAAACAAGCCGCTGTTTTCGAGGTATTTGCGATTACACCGCAAAATGCAGTATTTACAAAAAATAAGCCACAATAAGTATCTAAGTGAAAAAATATTTACTAAACATCATTTTTTAACCGTAGGATCTTTTTATCTTAATCACTAACAATAAAACATTCATTTTCTACAGAAATTGCTCAAAATGGCCCCCGTTAACTTCAATACATTTTGAAATGCGTTTATTGAGGGATCGTCTAATTTTAAAAAACATATTTTCATTTCGAAATCATTCGGCGGCATTCTTAATTTTATTTATCAACTCATCTCGGGTATCTACCGTTTGATCGTACACTAATGATTTTAAATAACCACAAACAGAAAAATCTAATGGGTTAAACTCAGGACTTCGCGCCGGCCAAGCCCAAGAACTTCCACGACCACCGATTTGTAAAATGTTGGTTTAGGTAATAACTAACGGCTCTAGCAAAATCGTCCTCTAATAAATTCTGTACCAGCGTAAAATGGCAAGGATGGAGATTTTCTTGCTGAAAAATCCTATGAACTGAAGACTTGCTTACGCCAATTACAGTTTCCAATCGTCTTGTGCTCATTTCTGGATTTTCTCCAACCCGAACCAGAACGCCTTCCTCTTGTTCTGGAGTTGAAATTTTCGGACGTCCCAAGATATTAACTTTGGTCCTAAACCAACCAGTTTACCCTAATCGACGGTAGATGTCTCCGAATAACATAATAATATAAATTCGGTTGCCTCCTATTGGAATACAAATCTAAGTAACGCCGTTTGGCACTGCGTCCACTAAAATTTTGCTGATTTTGACTAATGATTTTAAATAACCCCAAACAGATTTTTCTGAAATGAATGAATGATTTCGAAATGAAAATATGTTTTTTTAAATTAGACGATCCCTCAATAAACGCATTTCAAAATGTATTGAAGTTAACGGGAGACGTTTTGAGCAATTGCTGTAGAAAATTAATGTTTTATTGTTAGTGATTAAGATAAAAAGATCCTACTGTTAAAGAATAATGTTTAGTAAATATTTTTTCACTTAGATACTTATTGTGGCTTATTTTTTGAAAATACTGCATTTTACGGTGTAATCGCATATATCTCGGAAACAGCGGCTTGTTTGGACATCGACTAAGAATACCATTTTTGTATCAAATTAATAGGCGATTTGATACAACCAACTTAAGTCAGAATACCGGGTGACCAAAAAGTTGAAACAAGTTGATCAAAATCTGACGAAGACTTGGATTTCTTATGCTCAAATACCCCTGTATACCAAATTTCGTTAAAATATGCAGCTCGGTTCAAAGTAGAATAACGAAAAACTGAAATTAAAATGTAACTTTGACGTGTATGACGTCTTTGATGTGTGTATGTCGGCAACCGTCAACTTTCCGACTAAGGTAAGTTGTGTTAAATCATCATAATTTCACCCCAGAAATCCACCATTTTGTTTTGTGCCATTACGTTTGGGACACCCTGTATATATCACTACCATATATTCCAGAAATCAATAGGAAAATTTCTTATTTTTCTTCTTCTTCTTCTTCCATATTTTAAGCCTTAGGCTTGTATTTTCCAACTTAATTTTCTTGGGATATGGATGTGCAGGAGTCTTTCCATCTTTTGGGAGGTCTGCCCAGTGGTCGGCGTGTCTGTGGAAACCCGTCTCGAGCAATTTTTGCTACCCTGTCCATATTAATTCTAGTGACGTGGTCATTCCAGGCTCTACGACGCTTCCGTCCCCATCTGACTATGACCTCGATCTTGCACTCGTTTCTTATGTCAGTGTTCCTTTTCCTGTCTCTTATTTCAGTTGTTTGCAGGATATTTTTGGTTGAACTGGTGTCTGCTCGGGTTTCTGTAGCGTATGTCAGTACGGGTCTTACGCAAGTTTTATAGATCTTAGTTTTAGCCTGTTTCCCCATGTGTTTGTTGTTCCATACTACGTCTCGTAGAGCACTTGCTATCCTGCTAGCCTTGTTTGCTTGGACCCTTACTTCATTGTCTCTATTTTGATGGGAGGTTGTTTGCACTCCCAGGTAGTTAAACTCCATTACCTGCTCTACTAAATTATTATCGAGTGCGAGGTTACATCTGACGGGCTCTTTAGCGATTACGAGTGTCTTTGTATTGGCAGTACATATTTGCATGTTGTAGGCCATAGCTTTGACACAGAATGCGTGCAAGAGTTTTTGAAGGTCATCCTCACTTTCAGCTATGATCACAGCGTCGTCGGCATAGCAAATGATTTTTATTTCGCCAGTTGTAAATCTGTACTCTCTACCCGAGTTCTTGACGTGACTAATTATCTTATTTATTATGATGTTAAACAGCTGAGGGCTTAGAGAATCTCCCTGTCTATTTCCCGATGGCGTTGGAATTTCCTCTGTCAGTTTTCGGTTTATTAAGATGTGAGCCGAAGTGTTGACGTTTAACTGTTTGATAGTTCCTATAATAGCTGTAGGTATGTGTTTCCTCCTTAAAATATTGATAACATTGAACAGTTTTACTCGATCAAAGGCCTTGGTGAGATCGGTAAAGCACATAAATGCAGGTTTTACATACTCAATGGCTTTTTCCACAATTTGCCTGATTATAAAGATAGCATCCAGCGCGATCTATTTTTTCTGAAACCTTGTTGTTCTTCTGACATAACTAAACGTTCGGTAATGATTGATTCCAAGATTTTTGTGAACAGTTTCATAGTTGAGGCTAGTAGTGTTACGCCTCTGTAGTTTTCAGGAGATGTTTATCATCTATTTTGAATATGGGAATAATTCTTCCATTCGTTCGGGATTGTTCCAGTTGTTAAAATTTTATTGAATAGTTTTGTAAGTTCCGCCATTAGTAGTGGTCCGCCCTCTTTTAATAGTTCGTTTGGTATGTCATCTAAGCCAGGCGCCTTTCTATTTTTAATCTTACTCGCAATGTTTGTAGTGACTTCCACTGATATTTCCACCGGTTCCGGATTTTCCGCATGTTCTTTTTTGAGCCTTTTTTGTTCTTCGCTGGCATACAATCTTTTAAAGTAGTCTTTCCACTTTGCTTCGTATATTTGTTGTGTTTGCGCGCATTCTGTAATGTCGAGTTTTCTTCTTCTTAGCATTCCCCAGATTTTGTTTTACGCGCCATATAAGTCGTGTTCCATTTCTGTGGTGAATTGCTCCCAGTAGTTTCGTTTGATATTTCTTATTTCTGTGTTGACTCTGTTTCTTGTTTGATTGCAGTGGTTGCGTACTTCAGGTGTTCTATTGCTTCTGAACGCTAAGTAGGCAATCCTGTTTCCTTTTGCTAGTGCTTCTACCTCCCCGGTATACCATTGTTTGTTTCGGAAGGTTTTATTTGTAGCGATTTTTCTTTTGCCTATAGCTTCAGTGGCTGCATTTGTTATATTGCCTTTACTTTATTCCAACACTTTTCTACGTCATCTCGCTCTGTGATGCAGTTAATTTAAATTTTTTGAGATAGGCGTGTTTTGTAGGGGTTTTTAGTAGTCGGGTTTCTGATAGATTCTATATTGAATTTTTCCTTGTCGATGTTTTCAAAATTTCAGAAGTTTCCAAAACTTTTTTGAACATTTTAAAAGTACTAAAACCATACAACATTATAACTGTGGATAAAAAAACAACTTATCAACTGAATGTTTCCCAAAACTAAAACCAAAAACTGACAAAATGAATATATGAATATAGAGTGAATTATTTAGAATGTGATAATACATATATAGGCCAAACTAAACAATATTTAAAAAAGAGAATGTACGAACAAAAATACAGTCTGAGAAATACTAGTGAAAATAAAACAGCATTAACACAACATGCACACCAGATGTTACATAATTTTGATTTTGACAACGCAGATATATTAATTAGGGAAACAAATTATCATAAAATAAGAATCCAAGAAATGATACAAATAAGAAAACATGTAAAAGCAGTAAATTTCAGATCAAATACCGACAACCTTAGCAACATTTACCAAACCCTAATAAAGCCATAAGTATGGAACACCCGATACACTAGTGAAAAGTTTTAACTATTTCTGCTTATCTTAATACATGCATACCACTCTCGCAAATGTAGAAAATAATTCAGAAAAACTCAAGGTTTTCAAGAAGGCAAAGACTTAAAAGGACGTCGATTTTTACCAATCATGAGGTGAGTTTTTCCGGTTTTTCCGGTGGTGTCTCTCCCAAAAGGAATAATTTTTTCCTTCAAAAACTGATTAACACTTTGTAAATTATAATTTATATACAACATGTTTTAATTGTGAATTGGTGTTTGTAGTTTGCGTAAACATTAAATCTGATGATGGCGCTGTTGTCTCGCCGAAACGTAATGAAATAAACGATGTTTCGAAATTTTCACTTCACACTTTGACTGAGAGCCAGGAAAGATAGGAATATCATAACAAGTACACGCAGTCAGGAAAGTAAATCAGAATAATACCTACAGTCAAACATAATAATCGCATATTAGACACCTAACATTTTAAGTACCTGTTGATGATGAATTCGTGTAATTATTGAAAGGAATTGATTAATAATATATTTTTGATGCTATATCAAGGAACTTGTTCCTGTTAGCATTTGATATCTCAGAAAATCAGCAATTAGGGGTTGGAAATTTGGTTCAATCAACCACAGCACAGTAGCCATTATTATGAAAGGAGTCGCTTATGTGAATCAAAATTCATATTCCATACATTTTCATTAAAATTAATCTCTGTTATTTTGACGATTCATTAGTTCCTCAGAAACAATCCAATTCAAGAAACCTCATGGAAAAAACTACCTTTGAAATTACTTACAACACATGCTTTTAAAGCATTCACTCGTTGTTACATTGTTAAAAAAATCTGGATGAATTTTCAGTCAGATGTATCTGAAGTTTTTTCCACACACGTAACTGAAAATTTAGTTACCCGTTATTAAAAATTCAGATACCTGTTATTGAAAATTCAGATACTTGTTATTGAAAATACAAATGACTTTTGGTGAGGTTGAGTTTTCTTATCTATAAGAAAACTCAAATTAAAGAGCCAATTGCAAACACTATCAAATTATTCCCTCTAAAAGGTGCAATATTTGCAGAAAACGAAATGAGCAATTTACATCGGTAAATTGCGTTTATCTGACTAACATTGCGTAAAAAACAAAATTTGCTGATAAATCTTGGACACTAATATGCTATGCTAGAAGCTGTTTGAAAGAGTTGGTACGGACGATGGTTCAACGATATTTTAATGTTGAACAATCAGTTGACTAAACATGTAAAGGGTCCGCCATCATGTACAAACATGCCGTGGACTGTTAACTACCATAAATTTTTTGAACTATCGCAGTAGACTTTGCATAGACCATCCATGCAAAGCACCAACAATATAAATAAATCGGGCAGAAAGACCGATTGGGTCGATATACTTTTTCTGTAGGAAATAAAGATTATTTATATATTATATATACAGAGTGATTCAAAATTGGCGTCATTCCTTTTAAGGGGTGATAGAGGCTCCCTTGGGGAGTACGATGAAAAGGATGAAGATTTTAACTTTCTTAACAAATTTTCTAAACAAATTTTAACATTCTTTTGAAATTGTTCCATGTTTAATTGGTAGCATATTGGAATACTTAAGCATTCAAAAAGAAAAATTACCATCTTTGCTTCAAATTACGAAACATTTTGATATCAAAAAAGTTCTCTTCTACAATTTTTTGATGAAAAGACACAGCGGCAATGATGTTTTTTGTCATTAACAGATAGTTACAAGTGGATAGCCATTGTCAATCATAACAATAATTTGTCAAACTGTGACTTACTTTGAATTTCCTTTCACGAATTTGTGGATACGCGATTAGTTCAGGAGAAATGCTACAGCAACATAGCAGAAGCTGAAAGAACTCACGCCAACAAAGGGCGAGGAGAGTGGTTCCAGGACGATAGTGGACGACAATCGATGTTCGGGTTCCAGACACAGAGGAACAAGTATTGGACATAATCGAATCAAGGCCTTCCAAGGGCACTCAGAGCACAATAACTGACACTTTTCGAAGCACCAAATAAATACCGAGGAAGGTCTACGTTCCTACCACGTTTGTACGATACACACAGCACAAGGAGATACAAATGGAGCCGGAGTTAATTAACTGAATACGAGAATCCCCTGGATAAGAGTGGATAATAAGGAGATTACACAGGCACTAGCTTGTTTGTAGTTAACTATTCAAATGTTTGGTGTTGTATGGTTTATTTTTAAACACCAATATTCGAGGTTATGAGAACAGGTTGACATTTCATCAACAAATCTTGTTGAATTTACCATTTATCCTTGTCTATCTTATTGCCAGTCTGTATAATTCCATGGTTACCGGAGTTAAATAATTACCAAGCAACAGGTATTTGCGCAATGTTATTTAGGAAGATCACCTTGAAAAACATTGCTGCCGTATTTCTGATATAGTTTTTTGCAAATTTCTCAGTTTTTAATAACAATTAATTTCATTTACTATTTTTTCTGTACTCCTATAACGGCGCCAGACAACACCTCCAGAGGAATGACGCTAATTTTGAATCACCCTGTATATATAAATAAATCCGTTAATACCATGACATTAATCACTCTTAATTTTAGCAGAGCAACCTCCGTCGTGTCAGCCGTCGTTCTCCAGGTGGTCGACATGTTCCAGTGAGTGCGGTTCTGGTTTATCCTCCAGAAAATCAAATTTCAACTCTAAATGTATTCCTGAAACTGAAACCAGAATATGTCAGACAAGAAGATGTCAAGATGAGTTTTACGTTGCCGCACATAGAAAATATCATCATCTTCGAGTAAGTCTTACTTATATACAGGGTGGGACAACGCAAAGGTCGCCCCCCTATTTATGACTCCAGGTCGCTCTAAAAAAACCCCTCGAACACGACGTGTTTTCCGAATACACATAAACCTGATCGACCAATCGCTTGTCGACTCTTTGAATACAAGACATGTACCATGGCAACGAGTGACATAAACACCTCAAGTTTGAAATTAGCTGTCAGTAAAGCCGTATTTATTGCAGTTGAAATTTTAAATGAACCGGTTTTTACCCGTTTGCTTTGGAAAAAGTGTTTTATTTGTTGGAATTGTCTCTCGAAGGATTGAAGGACCCGAAAATGTGACTTTAACCTAGAAAATTAGGGATTGCAACGATAAAGTAAAATAATAGAGTTGGCGGTGTAATGTGATTTAATGATCATATTGACAGGCCAATAACCAGAAGGTGCGAGGATCGAATCCCCAGCCGAGCGCGTACAAAGAAATTTGTTTTTTATGTTTTTTTATTTTCCCACTCGCTTCATATGGGTGAAGTAAGCTTCTTTTGCTTCAACCCCAAACTTTTTTATTTGTTTTTTTTGCGATGTTGCAGATGCGAATGCTTTGGTTTGTTTGAGTTTGTAAGTGTTTGTTTTTGCTTTTTTGTAATATGGAAAATGCGAATAGTTGGGTTTGTTTGGGTTAAATTTTATTGACTAATTTGAAACTCGCGTTATTAAAAACACTTTATTTTAGAATTAATACAATATTTTTATAATGTAGATTTGAAATGTGTGTGACCGAACCTAACCGTAAACTGACTATCTTTAAATTAGAGTAAACGGATCTAATCATAGGCTGTCGTTGACTGTCTTTAACTTAGAGTAAACGGACCTAACCATAGACTGTCTTTGATAGTTAAATCATGCTGATCATAGCAGAAACGATACTACGTCTTCTTTTAAACGTTTAGTCGGCGTAAGTGGCCATATAATTTCTCCCTCCTTAAGACTGAGAAAATCGGGATTTATTTTCGATGGTTTTTAAATTTCGTCGTAGCGACAAAAAGACGTAAGCTCCATTTGGCAAATTTTACAGGAAAGAGAAAAAAACGTCTTGTGTCTCATTATGACTGCAAAAGGCAATTATTATTACGTGACGTTTTTTAATAATGTCAATAGATGCAGATTTGAGCAATAACTAGCTCTAAAGTGTCTTAATTAGCGATTAAATTAAGATTTTGGCGCTGAAGTCTGCATTAATTTCCAAATACGATAATATAGGGCGCTTAAGTCTTTTTTGAAGGCGCTTACGCCCTGTTCTTTTAAAATTAAATGCAATATTGTGGTTGATACAACCTACATACGCCTTTCATTTTAAAGTCAAGGCAAGAAATTGGAACTTACGCCATTTACACATTTTTTGAAATTTTATTCACGTTGTTTTAATACAAAATTTTTATTTGAAAGATCAACAGTTTTAAATTACAGAAAATAAAATAAAATGAATGTAACGTTCATTTTTACTTAAATACGTCATTTCTGATTAAGTACCAAATGTACCCAATTTTTCTTGAAAAATAAAAAAAACTTAAGAACAGAAACAAAACGGAGAATAAAAAAAAATTATTATTATATACTTTTCCTAAAATAATTAACGCAAGATTTGACTCTTTTATCAAAAGAAAAATCGAAATAATACAACAAAAAATAATTATTGCACCGAATAATAACACAAATAATAATTATTCTCCATCTTCCACATCGGTTTCAGGTAACACGTCATCAGGTACATTCGTTCCATGAGAGGAAAGCGTTAGGTATTCAACCTGGTAAGGTTTTTGAATCACGAGTTTATCACATAAGTTTCGTAAGTCTTTTAATTTGTTTTTGTTAATTGGCATTCCTGAAAAATACGCTCGAACAGGAAATTGAAATTTCCTCGAAATTTCCTCGAAAAAAATTTACGAAATGCCGCATCAGACAAATAGCTTGTAGTTAAATAAAGAGAATTTAATTATGTTTTGGAAACAGATGCGCGTCGAATATATGTTACTTTAATTTCAGAACCGTCAACTCCCTTAATTTTTTTATTGCCAGCCATAGACTTCCAGTCTAAAAATTGTTCGAAACGTACTGGAATAACTTCATAAGGCTTTGGCTTCCTCCAAGCGTTTTTGAGTAATGTAATCCATTCAGAAGGTGCTTGGACAATCAATTTAGAAACGTACTTTTCTATAACGGCGTGCACAGTATCTACTGGCATGTTATAACAACTTCTTCTATGGATTGTGATGACCCTCACAAAGTGCAATAACATGGTTAATAGTATCTTATTTTTGTTCTGTCCTGGGCAATTATCACAGTGGAAGAGTACTTTACGATACTTCTTTCTTCATCAATTTTCAAAATATAATTGTGAAGATGAGTACAAATCTCATTTGCTCTTCGTTTTCCGTCTTTCTCCTCTCAGACATAGCAAAAAGCGTTCTTAGTTTTGCTTTCGTAAATTGGAAAGTTGTAGACTGCATATTTTCTACTGAATCCGTAGAGCATATTTTGACCATGCCGTGTACCTAAAAGTCGAATGAAACGACTAACGTATTATCTTCAAGACAAAGGGATTGATCGCTCAGGAACCGTCGTTTTGCTTCAGCTTTCTCCTTTTGGTGATTAAGGTAAACATTTCTGTCATTATCGGTTCTCTTGTCTCCGGAATATTCTTATATCTTTCGCATTTCGAACACTTATCTGTCCTTGGTACATGGATGCCAATGTTAAATTAACTTTTAAAATGTTTTTTTAAAAGCTGCTAAGCCTAGCGGCACCTTACCGATGTTTTTTATATGCGATGTATAAAGTCTGTAAAGGTTGACGATACGTTTTACTTTTGCTGGCAGATAAAGTTTTTGTGATGATGATCTACAATAATGTGAGGGCACTGCAGGTAACGATTGAATGTAGGATCTAAATTCTTCCATTTGTTCCATCGTTGCCTTATGACCGGGTTCATGCTTACCTCGCAAGTCGAAATTTTTATTTATTTTTCCCTGTATTGAGCTTCTAACAAGTCTTTGACTTACATTTAGGGTAGCTTGAAAGAACTGCAGGCATACTCGCAAGTGAACAGCATTTTTAACCAAGAAGTATTGGTATGTTAAGGCCCTTCTAGAATCGGAGTGTTGGGTCTACTTCCTTTTGACAAGGACCACATTAACACACCCATTAATAAAACGCCGTTTTTTCTCGGTGCTTCGTGAACCCCAGAAGAATGAAAAAATGACTTTTCTCTCATCTTCCGAAAACTTATTGCAGCTATTATTACAGTCCTTACTACGGCACGGAATTGGTAAAACTTTCTTGCTTTCAACTTTCTTCATTTTGTAATTATAATTCGCCTTTCCAGATTGGCGGTACCATTCGTTTTTTGAGATTCGCTTTCATTCATCTTACGTTTTGTCCCTTTGGTTGCTTTAAGAATATTGTCTTCTTCCGACGCGTCAAATTCATTGTCTCCCACCTCTTCAGAATCGTTACTGTCTTCCTCGACAGTCGCAGGTGGCTTAAATAGTTCATCTGGAGAATCGGCTTCAGATTCGTTGTCGGTGTTGTCGTCCCGGTTGGCCAGACGCGGCTCAAATGTTTCTTCCGCAGGATCGGCTTCAAATTGACTGTTATTGCCTTCTTGGTGAGCCACAGGCGACTCAGATACGTTCTCATCAGAATACTCACTTTCACTACTTGTGTCCGAGTATTCCACTATTTAGTCGGATGGTTGTTTTCTGTGGTTCCACACTTAACTTCATAATATTATCACTGTCTTGGAAAACATTAGTCTCATGAATTGTCGGAACAAAGGGGGTTTGAACAGTCTCATTATCAGGAACTAATAGTATATTACACTTTGCGCTTTTAAATGAGCTGTGTATTTGACCACAGTATTCAAGTGCACCAAACGCCTCCATTTGAGAAAGACTTCCAGTAATAATAATATTATTATTATTGTCCTCATCCTGATTATTAATTATGTTAAAATCCTGGTTTAAAGCATCATTTTTTAATGTCTCATCATCTGTATCGCCTACCACTAGCTGCTCCGTGGGTGATTTGGAATATAATTTATTGGCCATTTGGAGTATTCGGTTTATGCGTGACAAGGGCATAGCTGTTAATTACGGCTACTTTCTCTAAAAGTAAAAAAGGCGTAAGCGACATGTTGCGTCGAATTTTAAAACTAAAATATTCTTGTTTTAATTTGAAATATTAATGAATACTTTATTAATGGTAATTATTGTTACTCATACAACACCAGAAATCCCTTTTTTTTATATCAGCCGTTTTCTACCTTACGGATATACCGCCCTCTTATTTTGCCAGTTGTCACGATTTTGTGCCACCTGCTCCTTCTATTGCTCCATGGTCTCTATCGAATTAGTTTACCACTCCACTTATCCTGGTCTCTTGCGATGTGGCCCGCCCAATTCCACTTCTGAGCGGCGGCGCGTTGCACGACATTATGCACCTTTGTTTTTCTCTGATCCATTCATTTGTTTTCCTATCCCTTAATGATATCCCAAGTATTCTCCTCTCAATAGCTCTCTGATTGACTTTAAGTTTGTCTTTGTCACGAAAGTATAACTTCCGTGAAGGTCCAAGTTTCTGACCCGTAAGTAGTTACTGGTAGGATACACTGGTTGTATAATTCGGTTTTGGGGTTTAAGGGTATGTCCATATTTACGTTGTTTTTTTGTTTTGGCATATGCCGCCCAGGTTTGCCGTATTCTCTCATTTATCTCGAGTTCTTGATTAGCCTTGCCTATAGTTAGTGTTTGTCCTAGGTATTTGTATGCAGTTACTTTCTCGATTCTGTTGTCTCCTAGAGGAATTTCTCGTTCGTCATCTACTTTTGATGTCATGTACTTCGTTTTGCAAAAGTTGATTCCTAGGCCTATGCGCTTTGTGGCTCTGTAGATGTCTTCGATAAGTGTGACAAGTTCTTCTCTGCTTTCGGCTACCACTACTATGTCGTCTGCAAACATTAAGTGGTTAAGTTTCTCGCCATTGATATTGATGTCTCTGTCTTGGAGGTCGATTGTTTTTAGTGCGTCTTCTAAAACTAGTGTGAAGAGCTTGGGTGACATAGGATCTCCTTCACGCACTCCTCTATTAATTGCAACTTTGTCGGATTGTTTGTGTAGCTGGATTTGTAGAGTAGCGTTTCGGTAAATGTTGTTAATTAGGTTTGCGTATCTGTGATCTATTCTGGAATGTTTCAGGGCTTGCTGTAGTGCCCATATTTCCAGCGTGTCGAAAGCCTTTCTAAAATCAATGAATGCTACCCATGAGGGTATATTGTATTCCACAGGCTTTTCGATTAGTGTTCTCATCGTATGCAGGTGTTCTGTCGTACTGTAGCCCTTCTTAAACCCACGCTTCTCTTTTGGCTGATAATGGTCTAGCTTTGGTGTGAGACGGGTAGTTATTATTTTCGAGAATAATTTATATATTTGGGATAGCAGGCTGATCGGTCTGTAATTTTCTAGGTTCTCAGTGTCTCCCTTTTTACGGATGATTATCACAAGGGCGTTTGTTCAGTCCTGTGGTATGTCCTCATTTTCCAGGCATTTATTGGACAATATTTTTAGTTGTTCTACTAGTATATCGCCACCTTGTTTTAACATCTCCGTTAGTATCCCGTCTTTGCCCGATGCTTTCCCATTCTTCATGTGATGTAATGCTGATCTGATTTCGTCTTCTGTAATCTCAGGTATGTCTTCTGAGATGACGTTTGTGACTTTCACTTCCTGGTCTTGCTCGGATATGTCGCTCCTTACTCTCGTCTCGTATAGGTCTGCGTAGTATTCTTGTACCGTTCTTATAATTTCGTGTCTTCCTTCAATTCTTGGTCCTGTTTTGTCTTTGATTCTGACGATTTCTTTCTTTGTGTTTGTCGCTAGTCTTCTGAACACTTTCGTCCCTTTGTGTTGTTCCAGTACCTTCTGCGCTATTCGAACATTGTGTTTTCTGATGTCCTCCTTTGCCATTTTTTCTGGCGATTTTATTTGTTTCGGCGTATTCTGATGATCTTTTGTTATTTGCTATAAGTGTCGTCTTTTATCTAGCATGTTTAATGTTTGCGAATTTAGTTTATTTTGTATTTTAGTTTTAGCTTCTATATACGCTTCCGCTGCTTGGATTAGGGTTCTAGTGATCGTTTTGTTTGCTTCGTTTATGTCATAATTACTCAATCTCTGCTCTTTAAATCTATTTCCCAGGAATTTTTGGAATTTATTTGGGTTATGTTGGAGTTTCTCTCTGTCAATCTGTTTGTATATCGACTTTTTGAATTTTTTACATCGTTCTAGTTTTTGGTTTATGCTTATCCTTGCTCTCACCAGACGATGGTTACTTCCAGTAGCAAATCTGTTAAATACCTCGACGTTTTGTACTATGTGGATGTTCTTCGTGAGAATGTAGTCGATTTGGTTGAAAGTTCTCCCGTCCGGGATTGCCCAGATCCATTTGCGGTTGGGTTTTTTTTGGAAGAAGGTGTTAGCGTTATAGAGATGTTCTTCTTCCAGAAAATCTACTATCATTGAGCCTCTGGGATTTCTTTTGCCCAGCCGGTGTTTGCCTACGTATTTTTCCTCTCGTTCTGCTTGGCCTCTAATCTTGCAGTTGAAGTTGCCGATTACTAAAACTTGCGATGTTTTATTGTTGCGCATTCCTTCCGAGATTTCCTCGTAGAATTTGCTGACCTCCTCGTCTTCAGCATATGCCTGAATTATCTTTAGTGTTTTCAGTTTATTAATTTGTATTGTTACGTAAGTATATTACTCTTTCGGATATAGCTTTAAGCAATCTTCTTACGTTGTCTGTTAGTCTCTTGTGTATCAGTATGCCTACGCCTTCCAGACTTGAGTTTTGCGTCCTTTGTAATAGAGCTTATGACCTGATGTGAGCTTAGTGTATCCTTCGCCTCTTTCCCTTGTCTCACTTATGCCAATCACGTCCCATTTGGTTTTTCCTACTTGCGCTCCCAATTCTTCAGTTCTGTCTTCTGTCGCCATTGACTTAATATTGTACGTAGCAATGTCCATCTTTGTGTGGCAGCCTGATTTCTTCCAGATATTCTTTGCACCCTCCGCCATTCCATTCTGGCTACAGCTACCTTTGTAGGAAACTTTCCCGCTGCTGGGGACTGAGGGCCTTTGGTTTTTGTTGCTTTCATTTATTTAAGGGTTTTTTTTGGCATTTAAAACACCACGCTTGCCGAACGGGTTGGTGAGTTTGTGCTTCAGCCTCCCCTCTGGGGAACAGACGCTGTTACTAGCCGCCCATTCTGGGTCAGACGCTGTTGTGCTAGTTTTGGTCCGCCCCGGGTATTTCATTTCCCCGGTTCCACCTATATCTAGGAGGCTTTCCCCTATCCGCCACCTGGGGAGGCGCCCAATGGGGGACTAGCAACCCCACACGGGAAATGGGGGGAAATGCCATAGTAATATCGAAATATTTTTGTACAATGATGGAAACTCCCTTTAAAATTGTGCATGGTGCTATTATGGACAGGTGGCGTTTATGCCGTTCAGAAATAAATTTATCAAAAGACGTAAACGCCAAAGTATATGGTATATGGTATATTGGGTCATTATTAAAGATTCTCGTTAAAAGTACATTGTTTCTTAAAATTTATTGGAATTACTTACCTTCGCAACTAATAGTAACGAGCTTTTGGCGTAACCGACACAAACCCAACTGTGTCTGGATACCGACTGATTCCAAAAGCAACAAAACGTGTCGCGAACTGTCGCTTGCGCAACAAAAGGTCGAATTTAATTGATGTCTAGTTTTCTGCCGCTCAAACCGCCCTGCTAGGTGGATGTAAAAGGTAGTTTTAAAGTAGTAGTTGCTAAAATAAAACAATTTTTAAATGTTTGGCGCTTACGTCTTTTTGTCGCAACGACGTCGCCGTAAACTTTGATTTGTAAGGGGATATCTTGCTGACGATCATTGCAGTCATAAGCAGCATTTTGATCATAACCTGATACCAGAACTGAGCAAGCACAAAATAAGGAGGATTGTGGCCTTTGCAACGGGATATTGAGCCGTCTGAAAGTATCGCAGATTGCCGTTTCTATGGATGCCCCTGACAGTTTAGTCGAAACATCGAGTAAACTGTCAGAGGTATGCATAGAAACGGAAATCTACGATACTTTCAGGCGGCTCAATATCTCGTTGCAAAGGCCAACAATCCTCCTTATTTTGTGCTTGCTCAGTTCTGGTATCAGGTTATGATCAAAATGTTCGTTGAAGTATTAATTATTATTGAATCTAATTCCTTTTTAGAGTATGTAGAAACAAACAAGTTGGTTTTATTTGTGCAAAATCAACTGGGAACGGAAATTAATCAATTTCCTCTTTTCTCTTCCTAATCCTAGAGAATAAAGCAAAAATATATGATTTAATGTCATCTGTGACCACATTTTCATTTTAGAAAGGACACGAGTGTAAAGCCACCCATCGCATAAGCGAACCAGTATTTCTACGCTTTGGGCCATGTCGAAGCAGAAAAAGATTCAGACCAAAGTATTGCGGTCTTTGTCCATTAACAGGAACTGATTGCCAACCAACGCTCAGTACCACCGTTAATGTGGATTTTATATGCGAAGGTATGTTGCTACTGGTTCTAGAATGAATTAAAATTAAAATTAATGAAGTGAATGAGAGGAATTTAATTGGGAGTACCTTCAACTATTTGACAATTAATTTTTAATGTATGTGTTCAAAGGTCTCGAAATCTTTGAATAACTTCAGGTAAACGAACAGCAGGAAATTCTCATGGATCACGGCTTCAAAGCCAAAAAACATTTCTAAATGTTAATACAGGGATGTTTGCAGATAATTTTCAAGGATTACAAAATTTGATAGATAGGGTGACCGGAATTCGATCACAGTACGAGTTGGTATTGAACGCAGACAAAATCCAACTTCCCATAGTAAGTAAAAGAAACATCGCCGAAGACAGTTGATATATAAACTCCCAAAAGTAGAATACAAAAAGTAAGGCAGTACACAAAACTGGGGACAATCATTAACGAGAGATGGACAACTCTTAAGAAATACGATATCTCAACGGGAAAGCTCGCTCTGTGTTTATTAAAATGAGCTCGCTATTTGAAAGCCATAATCTATCCTCAGAGAGGTAGCGAGATACTCATCTATATTCCCAATAGATGATTTCAAAGACGCACCCCTGCCCACGCAAGCCTTGGTTTATGTTCCAATGCCATACGGAGAAAACCATTGTCCTCTCCACATTCCTCCATCCAAACCCAAATTTTGAATTTGAAGCAGAAGGGACATGTACCCCAGGTGGGTAGAAACAATAGCTTCAAATCCCACACCTTGGAAAAGATGACCGTACTTTTGGACTGGCCTCATGGTTTCTGGGAGAAGCAACAATTCGAACTTCATCAACAAAAAGAACATCATAATAGCAACATACAACTGTTGTCACTCATGTCGGACACTCAATTCCTCGATTTAGAGAATCAACTCGGCAAAATTAAATGGGACATCATTGGACTGAGGGAAACCAGAAGACATGGAGAAAACCATTCAATCGGGAAAAACCTTCATTAATTGGACACGAAAGCGAAAGTCAAAGAGGAGTAGGTTTCCTAATACATCCAAGAATGGTCAAATACATTCAAAGCTACAACGGAATCTCGGACAGAGTAGCATATGTAACCTTGGAGTTGTCAAAGGATTACCGAATCAAGATAATTCATATATACGCATCAATTGGTGCCAGATTTGGCCAATGATTTTGCGACTTTCTTTACCTAAACATTGACAACAATGCTTCTGTGTTCATCTATGAAGACGACATCACGGCGAATCGTTGCTGATTGACTATGCATCCAGGCGTTAGGTTTTGTTGTTGCTCATTGCCACATAGAGTGTCCACAATTTAATATCATTTGATAGCTCGATCTAAATTATTGGATGCGTGTTGTGATTTGTGCGTGTGTTTTTTTCTATGCCTCTCAAAAGCTTATGTTTGTAAATCGTCCTTCCTTACCTTTTGGAGACCCCAAATATTTGCAAAGCTTTCAGTCTTCCCAAAATCTTCTCCGTTATTGTACGGGTTCACCTGTAAACCTCTTTCTTTGAACTCTCCTTTAATTAGCACATTAACAAAAAGTTCAGATTGGTATGAAAGTGTATAGTGTAGGTATTCTGAGTAACTATCTAAGTATAATCAACAGGTTATCTTCCACAGGTTCAGGCTTGGCCGAAAATAGCTCCGAATTACTACCCGAATACATAGAGCCAGCGGCTGATTTTTGGGCGGATGAATTTCCTCCTAAATACGACTCAGATGATTCACGATTGTTAACCGTCCTTGTGCAATGGATTCTTAAATGCCGCTGTACCACCACGACTCCAAAGGCCATTACACTTCAAAAAACCTATGGAAATGCAATCGACGTAGATGAGGATATCGTTTTGCACCGAGTACATAGAACTTAGGTTAACCGAGATTAGCAGCCACTACATAGAACAGTTTGTTATAAATCAGCTTTTGATGAAACTACTTAAATCAAATGTCTTGTATGAAAAATTCGAAATTTGGAAAAATTATATCAAAATAACAACGATGCAATATCAGTATTGCATCATTGTGAAAACAGAATTTAAAGACCTCGACCAGTAGGTGAGTTAATGTAACTTTGTACTACAGATAACTGCAGTAATCTGCAAAATTAAGAAGAACTAAGAAACTGGAGTTCCACAATTTGTAATGTTCATAGCCACCTATTTCAGCATATCAATCGTCTCAAAGGCAGATGTAAGTACGTGTAGACGTGTAGGTCAAGAGTATTGTGATAATGCAATTAGCCGTACAACCGATTTTTAAATCTTTTTCGATTCATATCAACCAATATCATAATCTTGGCATTCCAAATATTTTGACAATAAATTATATATATTTGGAAACACAAATGGTTATTTATTATTGGATAAGGACACTAGGAGTGGAAATTTCGTTTATTTGAAAGAGAAAACCATTGTCGAGGTTAATTAATGTTACGTGTCTAGAAGCATCACGAAACGTTACTGAAAATGCTTGGATAGCTAAAAGTGCCCGATGTTTCGACGCATTATTCGGGCCTTTCTCGAGGCCATGAGTTTTAACATATCGATTAATGAGTTATAACTCCTTTACTGATGACCGAGACTGAATTTTATTACCTAACAAAGGTCATGAACATTTTTTAGTAGTTACGCTTCAGCAGCAACGGAACCGAGTTACTGCGCCGGTGCGTTGGGTTGGCTCACCAATCCACTTGACCGGCACTACGCTAACCCCTAAAAATTCACTGAGTTACCTTTGCTGTAGAAACGATTGCTTGAAAATATTTGGTCTGAAACGGGAGAAGCCGGACATTTCTTCATTCTTCAGGGGCGACGAGGGTGACGCATTTTCCAAATACAAAGTTGATTGTAGGCTTTTGCTTTCTCTGATCGTTTTTGGAAAAGCACATTTTTTTTCGAAAGAAAACAAGAAATTGCATCGATTTAGTCCCAAATCCAAAGGTAACACGGGTAGCGGAAAAAGCCGATGAAGAAGACCAAACTATAAAGACCACTAGTTTTCTTGTAAAATCGATCTCTTAATTTTTTTAAATTTTTGACACCCTCAGTTTGCCAGTATTTTACAGTAAAACGTTAAGAAAAAATGCATTTTCTTGTTTAGAGGAAGTTTTGCTTAGAAATATTGACCGACGTGATGAAACCAAAAGAAAAAACAAATTATTCACAGCGACGAAGGTGACACGTTTTCCAAATAATTGATTATAAACTTTCGCTTGTTCAGGGAAATATTTTTGCGAAAAAATCCAGAAAAAATTTTCAGGGTTTTGTGCGAAATTCGAAAATGCAACAGATTTTCCGAAAATGTTTGTTTTGCATGGCGGTTAAAGAGGCGAGTGTCCAATCCAATAAAATTTAATTTCTAATTTTTCATAGAAACTGTCTGAAGATTGTCAGTATTTTTAAGTAAAACTAAAAAATAATGCGTTTTTTGAGTAGAGAGTATTGCTTAAGAAAACGTTGCTAAACTGGAAAGACCTGATATTTTAAACCAACTTTAAAAATATTCAGAGCGGTGAGGGTGGCAAATTTTCCAAAAATATTTTTTTAAACTTTTGCTGTGGTCGATTTGTCAAATTAATCTTAAATTACTTTCGTTAAAAAACTAAATAAAATTATTTTGTTTTTGGTCCAAATTCGAAGCTGAAAAGGGTTTTCTAAAATTCCCTGCAAAGCGATGAATGAGGCCAATTTTCTAACAAAATTAATTTTGTCCTTTTTTTGCTGAAAAGACTCCATTATTGTCAGGAAAGAAGAAACGCATCAGAAAATAATGTGTTTTTTGCGCTTTTTATTGAAAACTTTTAGTTTTATAACCGGTATTTGAAAAAACCTTAATGTCCTTTGGGAAAAAACAAGAGAAATTTATTTTAGATTCTGTCGACGATGAAAAAAGTGTTTGTAAAATTCCTACAAAGCTATAAATTTATCTTGTAATTTTTCGCGTTAAAGACCTCTACGTTGTCAGCATTTTTAGAAGAAGTTCTACAAAATAGAGCGTTTTTGAGGGAAAAAATATAGAGAATTTGTCAAATAATTTAGTATAAACTTTCGCTTATTCTGTTCGTTTTTTGATAAAAAAATATTTGATTTTTGTTTCAAAATTGAAGTTGGAAAGTGATTTGCAAATCGACAAAGGAGGCCAGTGTTTTAATAAAATTAAATTGATAATTTGTCGCCGAAAATACCTTAAGATTGCCAGTATTTTAATACTGACGTTAAAATAAATCTAAAAACAACTAAAAAACATTTTCCCCGCAACGAAACTCGTCAAAATTCACGGCATAAAAAATATGGTGACTTGTATTTACGTGCTTAAATTCTACTGGCATCGGGCCTCGTAAAGGTTTAATCCAGCCCTGGGTTAAATGCTTTGAGTCATAACTCTTTAGCTGATGAGTTATAACTTACTAACTCACAGAGCGACAGCAGCTTAATAGCGCAACTCAACCCAGTGTTACTCATGCCTAGTGTGTTACACGTTATGGGAGTATCACCAATGCTGGTGTTGTTCTATATTTATTTATTCTTAATAGTTGATGGTAAATTAAAATATTTTTTTTTTAGACTGAGCAAAATTTTTCGCTGCCATCAATTTATTTTAATCGAATGACTCGTCACATCCTACTAAGATTTTTTAACGTTCGAATATGTTTCCTCGCTTGTTAACTCTCTTATTCCCTTCTTGGTATTTGGCTGAGTCTCTAGGGGTTACTCTTCTCTGTCTTATAAAGTTTCGTGTATCTGGTCCCAATTTATGCAGTTCCTAGTTTCGGCTCTTGCTGCAGTTCTTCAGTATTGTTATGTGAATACAAGCAGTAATTTTCTCATTAAGTTCGCGGATGTCCATTTTTTGACGTGACAACTTTCTCATGGCAAGGGGTAAACCTATCGGAATGCGCTACGTCGCCGTTATGTCTGGCATGGATAAAGACAAGTATGTAGTTCTCTCTCGCACGCACACAGCCGCGCGTTCACCTTAACGTTCCATTAGGCCGGCCGTGTGTATTTAAAAGTGTGTAGTCTGTGATCCGGCCGTCGTTTGAACCGTTTTCGTGCGAACTGCGTTCGTCATAAATCGGACGAACAATTTCGTTTCTTTATCGTCCGAATTGGTCATGTATGAATTGGTTATGTATCAAATAAGTACATTTACACACAAGAGCTTGATGAAAACACATTATTCCGAGAAAATGACAATCCATGTTGCAAATTGTTGACAAAGTAGTTATGCTTTCGGTATTAGCAGGTTATTGTTGTCATTATTGAGTAGAAATCTAAGCATTTAGTGCGCAAACCCTAAGTTGAAGTGCTGGACCCCAAAGCCTTACGAGGGCCGGGACTGAAATTAGTATCGGGCCCAATTAAGGATAATGAAATGAGAACATTTTTAAGAGACACCTTCTTTAGGCGCGTTTAGCACTTTCTTGTGATGTTGAATGAGACTGAGGCGTCACACTGATATGTACTGCTCCTTCGGGTCAAGTCTACTCGAGACGACTTAGTGAGAAAGGATCAGTCGGCAGAGCGAGACAGCCGAGAAGGTTTGTGGGTATTGAATGAGACTGCGCCGTCACGTTTGTCTCAGTAACGCTTAGTAAAGGCCACTCGTTGACTAAAAAATTGTGGTTCCATTAGAAAGGGCATATCAATATTTCCATTAAATTGTCAAAGTTTATATGCACATGCTGTTACGCAACGTTCAACTACACCTATTGATTTTATCAGAAACTTGGATGAGCAATAAATAAAACGTCGGTATCCCAAATTTTCATTGTGCTGCCAAATTAAAAAGACCTACTTGCCGAGCCGCAAGTGTAGCTATATTTAAGAATAACAGAGACACGTCGACATTGCTCACTTCACAGATGGATGGTTCAGTTTCAATTCACAATCAAATGGAGTTTTTAACACGCTGCTACAGATTCTCCAAATTACTCTATGGAGTGTAGAACTGAGCGCTGACCGACACACTATTGAAGAGATTGGAGGCTTTTGAAATGTGGCTCTATGAGAGGATCCTCGGAATAACAATTAAGTTGTATCTACTCCAAATGAAGAAGAACACAATTAAAGCAATCTTCTTCTTCTTCTTCTTGTGCCTGGTGATTAGCCGCACGTCGGCGATTGCCTTTACTCTTCATACAATGTGCAGATTGCTGTTGTCGGCTCTTCGAAATATGGTGGCTGCATCGCTGTTGTTACACCAGTCCCGTATGTTTCTTAGCCAGGAGTGTTGCTTTCTTCCTGGGCCTCGACGTCCCTCTATTTTTCCTTGTAGAATTAGTTTAGGAATTTAATATTCGCCTCCTCTAAGGATACGGCCAAGGTAGAAAACTTTTCCTTCTTTAACGATGTTAAGTATTTCTCGTTCGCAACTTACAGTTCTCAAAATTTCTTTATTCGTGGCATGTGCGGTCCATAGCACGCGTAAGAGTCTCCGGAGAGTCCACATTTTGAACGCCTCGATGCGGTTCAGGGTTCTAGCTTTGAGAGACCCCGTTTCTGCGCCGTATAGTAAGATGGGCCATATGTAACACTTTACTACCCGTAGTCTAAGTGCTAGCGGGAGACCGCGAGCTAATATGAAATTTTTAAGTTTGCGAAATGTTGTTTTTGCATAATTCGTTCTAAGTTTAACTTCTTCATCGCAGTCCCATCGTTCGTTGATCATGGCACCCAGATATTTAAGTCGTGATACTCGCTCTATATTTCCATCGACCGTCAATACGGTGTTGATTATAGGCTGCCGACATATTACCATAAGTTTGGTCTTGGTAGCTTTGATTTTAAGACCATAACGTTTACCCATGGGCTCTATTCTATCCATTATTTGCTGGAGATCCTCTAAAGTTGGGGCTAGAATTGCCGTATCATCTGCATATCGTATATTGTTAATTGGAATTACGTTAATCTTAATTCCTCTACTTTCTCCTTCCAGGGCCATTTGCAAGATCTTTTCGACGTTTATATTAAAAAGTATTGGTGACAATATATAGCCCTGGCGGACTCCTTTACATACATTGAAGGTATCTGTGCATAGGTTTCTGTTAACTCCTATCTCCACGGTTTGGTTCCAATATAGTTCCTGTATGATTCTGATGTCTTCGGCGTGTATTCCTATCTCGATCAGTCTATTTAGGAAAATATCGTGTCTAACGCTGTCGAAAGCTTTCTGATAATCTATGAAGCATGCATAGACATCTTGGGGTTGATCATAACACTTCTGAATCAGTTTGATTGAAAACAAAGCCTCTCTCGTACCCAACCCCTTGATGAAGGCAAACTGTGTCTCTCCGCTCTTTTCTTCACATGTCGAGTATATTTGACCATGTATGACTCGAAGAAAAACTTTTAGAGCATGACTCATGCGACTTATAAGTCTGTAGTCACTACAATCTTTTGGAGATGTCTTTTTGGGAATTGTTACAAAAGTTGATTTTAACCAGTCGCTTGGAATTTTACCCGAATCGTATATTAGGTTGAACAGATATGTGAAATGTTTTGGGTCAAATATTTTAAGAA